GTCTCTTCTCGTATCAGAAAGTAGAACTGTGAAAAACTAAAGTGATACCTGAACTACAGGAGCTACAATCCATGAATAGAGGATGTAAAAATGAACTTGAGGCCTCTGCTGTGCTGTGCTTGTGGTTCCTCTCCAATATCCTAATTTTTAATTCCCCCGCTCCTTCTACACCCAATCATGCATTCTTTCTCACTGCTTTCATTTGGAACCCCAGTGCACTGCCCCCTCTCCTCCCTCACCTCCCACCACCTTTCCTGGAAAGAACTTTTTTTTTCTGTTTTGTTCAGATTTTTTACAAAGAGGCTTTAATTCATCCTCCTCCAAAATCCCATACAGCAAGTGACAGCAAGGCAGCCTTACCTCCCCCACATGCTACTCCTGTGTGGGCAGGGACAAAGGGGCTGTGGGCTGTTGCTACACTACTTTCTGAAAAGAGAAAAAAGAGAAAACTATTACTACCACTACCACCTTTGATTCTATCTATATCATTTAACCATGACTGTTAAGCTCCAACCCTCACCACCATCACTACAGCCAATACTCCTAGGCTGTCGCTAGTTCTCAGCCACCAACTTGAATTGTGTCCTATGGACCTTAAATCTGTCTTTGAAACATTATATCATAAACAAATAAATTGTTCTTACCATCTCTGGACTTGTAATCTCAAGTTCCAGCTGTGCTGGATGTGTGGAAGACATTAAATGTTTTTGTGAAGCAGTACATGGAAGCTGTGTGTGCCTCAGACCACAGCCTGATCTTCTTACAGCAGCTCTCCCCTATGTCTGATCCAGCAAAGGGAACCTCATGGACTCAGGAAAAAGCTGAAAGGTCTGTTTATGTTATGAAAATCAACACTGTACCCAGCTACAGCTTCTGCAGACACGTTTGGTCAGCCAGAGCAACATCACCTCTGCCCAGCATGTTCTCTGCAGACCAGAAAGTCCTAACTATAGTACATGGATTTATTTCTGTTGTTGGCAAAAAAAAAAGAAGGGGAGAGGAAGTAAAAGTACAAATACTCTCACATTGCCTTATGAATTTTTGAAGGACTTTTCGTACTTATTATTACTTACCTCATTCTGTACTGGACTGTAAAGTCCAGTAAACTTGCACTTAATCAGTGCCTTGTAGACCACTACTGATCTGTGCCCTACGGTGGCAAAAATATTGATAAAATATTTCCTAACTTTAAGAACACATCTCTGCCAACTGAACTACGAAATACTTCCATTTCCACTTTACATACTCTTCTATTTTTCCACCTTTGTTATTTGAAGTAACACAAAACTTTGGGGTTTTTTTCATTGTTTCTTTCCCCAAACCCAGAGAGGCTGCAGAAAGCAGAGCAGCTTTCTCAGAGAAACGCCGAAGTGGGAAGGAAAGACAGTGAGTGATTGCCACCAAGTGGGAAAATACAAAACTGCAGCCTGTGCCTCTGAATTGGTTCTTTCCCTATGAAACCCTGCTAAGGAAAATGTCAGTCAACTGTCACAGCATCATCCTAAAAAATCAGCTGCAAGTTTTAAACTTTTGCTTAATTATTTCCCTAAGCATAATTTAAATTATATTTATCCTGCCTCGGAAATTTAGTAATGAGTTTTGATTTTCAAATAATTATAGAGAAAACATTTAGTGAGAACAGTTAAGGCCTGAGCATGTCTGTCTTCCAATTTAAAGAACACTGCCCTATGACAACTTTTTGGTATGTCTAAAAGCAAATTCCAACTCCACAGAAATTAGCAGGAAGACAATAATGGCATTATCTGCAGGAGAAAACCACCCCACTTCTCTTTTTTCATTTGTGTGATGTGGCACTCACGATATTATATAAAACTACCAGCAATATAAAATAGTGGTGAATATTTCTGAATGCACACAAAGTTGTGACAAAGTAGTAATCTTTGAATATCCTGTCCATCTTTTTAAAGGTAGATTCTAGTTTATATAGAGAATGTGTTGTTTCTAGTTCTGTTACTATTTTCTGTGACACTCGCTCCCACTTCATCTTTCAGTATTCCTACACTTAAAGATACATTCTCTCACTGTTCCTACTTATAGGCACCTGCATCTGTTTGGTGAAAACCGTAATTAATGAAAGTTCATACTCTGGGATAGGTGAGAATATCATTGGGATATCCTAAAGCAGCTGAGAATAACATTTGGATGTAACACCACAAGGTCATCAGGCCTGAGATGCCGGGGGGGCTGGGTTCAAGTCTAGGCTCCAAATCACAGGAGATAGGAACATGGCTTTTGTATGGCCATGGGTACAAGATGAATACAAGTATAACCAAACCACTCCAGAGCTATGCTAAACACTTCACTAAGTAATGAAAAGTGGAGCAATGATGAGTTAGTATCTCTGTATCTATTTGGGCATAACGTTCTCCAACTCACTCAGGTACTCATGAAAAACCAGAGTTTCCTAATTATTTCAGAGCAGCAGGATACCCCTGAGAGCAATAAAAATGCCTAGTGTGGAATTTAGCTGCAGTTGTCCATCCGACTACTTGATTTTGCTCCAGCCTTGCACCTTAGTTCAAGAATCATATTCAAAGCACAATGCCTGCATGCTAGTGGTAGAGACCTGTGTACTCCATGATACACATTAAGCATCTCATTCAGTTCCTAAATTTGAATGTCATACCTATATGCACTTTTGTTATGCTGCAACATCAAAACCTGAAAGTATTCCCGTGGGTCAGTCTGCTTCTTGGGAGTTTGCCTCTGAGTTTTACACAATCCTTTGATCTGCTAATCCAAAGTCTTTACAGCAATTTGGCACTTAATAATAGGCAATCAAGTAATTTCTGGTGTATTACAGAAAAAAATTAAGCAGTATCTATGGACTGGTATCTGGAATTGTTCAACTGAAATGGAACTATTTCACACCAATAGTGAGGATATAAGGGAATATTCACAGGTCCATCAACATCTGACAGGCACAGAACTAATCATCTGATAAGGCACTTGTCAATAAAAGTGCCTGGAGCATCTAAATCTTTGTGGAGAAACCTGGAAACTACAATTAGATGTCTACAGTCTGTTCTGTAGCTTCACATTTATTGCCAAACCCTGTAAAATAACTTTTCTTTTATAGAGTACTATTTATAAAGCATGTAGAATGGTTAAATCAGGATAAAAGCTCTGGGGAATGGTATTTGAAGACTACATCGAAGGAAAACACTCCTAGAGACCTCAGTTTTAAATGTGCACTTTTTGATACCAGTGAGAATTTCTAACTTTTCAGAATTACTGGACTAATAAAAAGAATTACCAAACACATTGAATTGAGGAAACATGTTTTGTTCTTTTACTGTTCTTACCAGGTTGTAAGACTTGTTAGTCCTCAGCTGGGATAAAATTGCACTTTGCTTAGAAATTTCTAAAATAATGTCAAATGAAAATACATTAGTTTGTATATTATTAGATGAATATTAAAGAATATAATATGTAAGAGGAATCAATTTTTAAGTCTGTTGGTAATCCCTTTCTTGTGCTTAGCAAATTATAGCAAACAAATCAGTTTTAAACACCTATTGTCTAACAAAAAGGCTGCTACAAATAGAGGGAAATGTTGACAACGTAAATTAATGAAATGACAAAAAGTCAAGTACCAACTCCCTTCTACATTCAAAAGTCTCTACTTGTGAAGAAATATTCTCCCCACTATCTCCCAACTGGCAGTGGCCAAATGTCAAGCCTAAACCATATCAAACAAATTAATGTAACAAAGGTATAAATATGCTCAGACAAAAAGATCTAACATGAGACTGTTTTATGTGATGTTCTTTTAATTAGCCATATTCCAATAACCCTCAGTTTTAATTTCATAAATCTAAGAATCCATTTCACTTTGGTGAATTCTCCTCCCCATCAGAAATTAACTATTTAACTGTAACTAATGAGAAAAACGAGTCAAATTGCATATTGGTTTTATCAGCAGCGATAATTAATTAATCATTGGTTCTACTTAAATTGGTTTTGTTATTAGGAAAAAGTAAGCAATCAGTCCAGAGTTAGCATTCTGAGATTTCTATATCCTCACATGAACACACTCACATACATGTAAGTGACCCCCTTTCCTTTAATTATAAAAACTCCTTGCAAATTATTCATATTTTTGTCTTTTACTTATTTTCAAACATTGAGAAAGATTTGTGGCAGTTCAGTTAAACAAACTAAAAAAAACCCTAATGGAGAAGCTCATAACATGAGCTAATGCCATACAAGAATACAGTAATAATAGTAGCTCATGAAACCATATTTAAGACTACAAAGTGGTATATCATCACGATGAAGAAAAGTGGCAAAATTTGTCATGTTTTGTGATTTATACACAGTATAACTCTTACAGTATTTTTCCTTCTAAATTATTTATCCACTAAATATGTTTAAAATGTCACAGACTAGTTCCTACTACAGCTATCAAAAATAGTGGGACACAGTATGAAAAGCATTTTATTTTAAACAAACACATTTTATTACAACTAATTTGACCCATATTCCCCATGTCAGTATTCAGCAAGGTCTTAGAAAATCCAAGGCCAGGCATAATAATGAGGAAGCTACCCAAGGAGCAGGAGAATTGCAAATTCATAGGAAAAGTGTAATAAAAACATTTTAAGATTGTACTGTAGGAATTAGAAGGGACTGAACGTGTGTTTAACCTTAGGACTTCTCTTTTCCTAACTCTGAAAACATGCAAGTTAGGAAAAGGCATCTATATGGCTGTAGTTTCATCCTACCCTATTCTAGGAATTTAGGATCATTTTAGTCAGTATTCCTCCCACGGGGCTTGGTAGCTTAAGCTCATGCATGGGAGGGTCAAGCCCATCCAAGACCAGCAAGATCCCAGCACTCAGGTGCAGTTACGGGCACAAGGCCAGGGTGTATCTCTGCCTGCATGCAGTGCTGCCTTGTGCTGAGTGCCCTGCTATGGGG